CATGATCCCAGGACCCTGGGATCGAGCCCCGCATCGGGCTCCCTGCTCCGCGAGGAGCCTGCTTCTCCCTCTGCCTGCCTCTCCCCCGCTTGTGCGCTCTCTCTGTCAAATAAATAAATAAAATCTTAAAAAAAAACAAAGCACTTATGACAGAATCTCCCCATAACAGGAGATTTTACCAAGCCCATCTACTAGTCATTTTCATACAGCCAGGCTACAGTATAAGATTTTAACTTTTAATCTAAGTATAGTTGACATACAATATCATATTGGTTTCAGGCACACAACATAGTGATTTGACAAGTCTGTACATTACATGGTGCTCAGCGTGATAATGTGATTACAGTATTACTGATGATATTCCCCATGCTGTACTTTTCATCCCCATGACTAGCTTATTTTCTGACTGCGTGTTTGTACCTCTGGATCCTCTTCACCCATTGCTCTCATTCTTGTGAGCTGTTGCAAACGAGCTCTGTGCTTAGCTTCCTTCCTTAGGCAGGGATAGGAAGCTGCTGGGCTTCTCATGTCATAGGGGGAACTGTTACCGTCCAGCTGGATTGGAAATCTCCCTCAATTCTTACTAGCTGTGTCACCTTAAGAGATTTCAAATGCGTAAGCCTCAGTTTCTCCACTTGTGGCCGGACGATAATCCCCGATTTTAAGGACTTAATGAATGATGTCTCTGGGGAGCCCCCACACAGAGCCGTGGCACTGTGGGCCCTTGGGGTCTGCCTTCTGGGACTTTCCAGGGGCTCACAGTCCGGTGGCTCGGGTTGGCCCGGTGGGGGCGCGGGCAGCATAGCAAACCGCTGTCCTCTGCCTGACCTGTGACCGCCGAGGGCTGTGTCCATGCAGCGGCTTTCCCCACAGGATCCGCGTGGGCTGCCACAAGCTCATCAACCACCACATCTTCACCAACCTCATCCTCGTCTTCATCATGCTGAGCAGCGCCGCCCTTGCCGCCGAGGACCCCATCCGCAGCCACTCCTTCCGGAACACTGTAAGCCACGGGGCAGGACAGGCGGGCGGGTCTTTGGCTGGGAGGAGCACTGGTCTCTCTGGCAGGGGCCATCACTCAGGGCTAAAGGCTAGAGGCAGCCTCTCCTCGTTCACCTGGAGGCATCTGGTATTTCGGGACGTGAGTGCCAGGGGGGTTTTGTCTTAGCAGGACAAACCTGGTTTGAATCCTGTCCATGACACTTCCTTTCAAATACTCTGCAGTAACTTATAGTGCATTCAGGAGCCCCGCTTCTCCTTCTCTTTGTTCCTTGCTGCCAACATTTTCGTCCCTCTGTTCCCCTCCCTGGTCAAATTCATGTCCACACCTATCTTGAGATTTCTGCCCGCATCCAGCAGGAGAGAAAGTAGAAATGGAACCAGGTATGTCTCGTGCCCAGAAGCTCATATTTAGGGTTGGTGGGAAGATGTCTAGCTGACGCGGGCTGAAATTCACAGAGCCACTTGGTCTCATCACGGGGGGAAACACAAGTTGGGGGGGGGCGATGGCGTGTGGAACCCCGTGGTGCAGTGGAGAGGAAGAACTGTGTTTTGGTGGGGCCAGGAGGCGGTTTTACAAAGAAAACAAGTCGGCAGTTTTCTGTTATCAGTTTTGTACTTTAGGGAGGAGAGCACCCTTCCGCGGCATCTGTGCTGCTCAGAAATTGTACCCAAAATAGTTCTTGCCTGAGCTGTCCCATCTTAACAGTTCAGCTCATTCAGCACTGAGAACAATGCAGAGCGTGAGAACAATCCAAAGGTGACACAGCTTCAGAAGCCCCATAGTCTGTTGACTGCTTTGGCCTCGATACCGTAGTGCAGTTTCAGGTGGTTATCGGGAAACCCAGGAGAGGGAGGCCCCCAGGTATGCGAGGCCATCGGCATTCCTGCCTTGCCTGGTTCGTACCTCTCTGTGGTCATCAGATTTTTAGAGATTTGAGGATTAAAACAGATCCCCAGATCGGTGTCCCAGGATTTTGGTTGTGACCATCAAGCCTTGTGCTGTATCTTTTCATTTCCAGGGCTGTCAGTTTGCAGCCCAGCAACCCCAGTCTATCAGACTGATAAAACATGGGCACTCTGATTTGCAGATTTTAAAAGAACTTCCCTCCTAGGGCACATGTTGGTGTTGATGCAAAGACGAAGGCCCCGCACCCGTCCAAATCTGCACTCACAGATCAGGGCTTGTGCTAGAGACGCTGAGACTGTCTCTATCTCAATGTTCAGATGGAACGGAGACGTCGGTGTCCTTGAGCTCCATCATAGAAATGAAGCACAAGAGGAAGAAGCTGTTTGGAAAAAAATACCATTATTGACAGAGTAGGTCAGGAGCTAGTCTAGAACACAGACTGACAAGGAGTTAACTTACAGGGGGCCTCATGTTCTTATTTTTTATTGTAATTACTGCCCCGTGAGCTTATTTCCCTGCCCTTTTCCCAAGAATGTTATTGTTCTTTTTAAACAGATGTACATATGTGTACATATATTGCTTGCAAAATACTATATAGTGTTTATTGTGGTAAGAATGCTTAACATGAGGGCGCCTGGGTGGCTCAGTTGGTTAAGCGACTGCCTTCGGCTCAGGTCATGATCCTGGAGTCCCGGGATCGAG